CCAAGGCCTTCCGGGCACAGCACGTTTGTACTTTCACGTGGACTCCCCACATGAATACTGAGCCCAGAGGCCTGGAGAGCCAGTGTCGTGCCATGCGGTGAGAAAACCCAGACGCTTTGCTGACCCCGGCATCAGTGTAGCGCAGGCACTCACTCTAGGCACTGCCTCAGATCCGACCATTGTCGGCGCGGAGAAGTGCAGAGTCCCAGGCCCCACCGGCCCTACCACAGGAGCTGCATCTTGATGCAGTCTGAAGGCTCAGTTGCCTAGGGCTCTCACTAAGCAGCACAGGTCGGGTGCTAAGATACTGCTGTTCCCAGACCACCGCTGGAGGCACCCAGCTGGAAAGCTCCAAGGATGTGGGCCAAGAGGTGGAAGACCGTGGCCTGGGGTCTGCAGGGGACACGGAGAGGATGGCGCCTGGCTGGTGCTGTGGAAATGCCTGGCTGAGAAGATAAACAGCAGGCAGCAGAGGCGCAGAGGCTGCTTGGTGAAATCCCAGAGGGAGACCCGCCTCACACTGCAGCTTTGTTTCCTCAGCTGAATGGCTGACGCAGAGGACAGGGTTCACCGAAAGCACCTGACACTGCCTTTTCCTTTGGTAGGGTCCATCAATTTATCCCTAATTTCAAAACGCCGAAATCATGTTCCTTAGCTTTACAGAGAAATTTGTTTCATACTTGTTGGCCCTCCCTATTCCGTTGGCTCTCCCTATTCCATCCTATTACAGGTTGAGCATTCCTAAATCTGAAAATCCAAAATGCTCCAAAATCTGAAACTTTTTGAATGTGACCATGACACAAGTGGAAAATTGTACATGTGACTTCGTGGAACAGGTGACACTCAATACAAAGGTACACTAGAAACTGTGTATACAATTACCTCCAGGCTACATGTAAGACGTATATGAAACATAAATGGATTTCGTATTTATATTTGAGTCCCATCCCCAAAATGTCTCATTATGGATGTGTGAATCTTTCCAAAACCTGAAAAAGTCTGCAACCAAACTAGTCTGGTACCAGGCATTTCCACTAAGTGATACTCAGCTTGTGTAACATTTGACTCCATGCTTCCTACAGGAAGATGAAGCAAACGATCCATGAGAGACAGTGATGACTTCTAAAATGAAAGTGGCTGACACTGGCTTTGAAGAGTCAGGAGGTAGGGTGGCTGGGGACAGCAGAGGCTGGCAGAACATCAGAAATCAACTGGGTAAGTTTTCTTCTTTTTTTGAAGGAGGACTTGTTACCTTGCTGCCATTTTGATTTCAAACTCCTAGGATGCTAAAAACTAAGTGAAGACACCAGAAAATGAGGTGCCTTGTTTCTATCACCTTTGCCTTTTTCTTGGTGACATAGGTAACTAATTAGCCCCAGGAGGTCACCAACCTGGGAACAGCTGCAGAGAAGGAGGTGAGGAAAACGAATGAGTAAACTAGAAAAGCAGGCCAGCTGAGCCAAGGGCCCCTACAAGCACCCACCTGAGGCGCATAGTCTCATTTCCGGGGACTTCAGAAGTGACCAGGTGCCCTGCCTGTTAAGTAAGTAATCTGTCTCTCTCAGCCAACAGTGCCTCCCACCTCCACACACCTGTCACATCAGTGATTAAGGGAAGCAGTGTGCACAAAGGTGAGCAGAGAGATAGCCTCCAGGTGCCCACAGCTGTGAAGAAATTATCTAAATGGGAGTGTCACGTCAAACCCAGTGAGCCTGTCTTTGAACAGGTCAAGGAGGATCAGCAGCAGATGTCCCTTCTAAGTCTTTCTTGTAAGTCAAAGGTGAGAATTTCCACTAGTACTCTGAATTAGCAGCTATGAAGGAATATATTTACATTTGCTTATAGTATACATACTGATATGTACACACATGCAATTGGCCCTCCATATCTGTGGGTTCTACATTCACAGATTGAACCACCTGGGTCAAATATCAAATATCCAAAGTATTCAGGAGGGAAAAATTGCATCTGCACTACACATGTACAGATCTTTTATCTTCATTCTTTAATCAATACAGTATAGCAATGACTTGCAACACACTACATTGTATTAAGGATTTTAAATCATCTAGAGATAATTTAAAGCATATGTGAGGATGTGTGTAGATTCTAGACAAATACTATGTCATTCTCATACAAGGGAGTTAAGCATCCACCGATTCTGGTATTTGGGGGAATGTATCTCTGCTCTAGCTATAACAAAACTGGTTTGGGGTTAGGCAGGTAAGTCCTCATCCTTGGCCAGCGAAGTAACCCCATTACTTCTACCATCAAGTAAGGTCTCCCTAACACACAGGAGGAAGGCCACCATGGATCACACATCTTTTCTGCTCCAACTACACAGAGGGCTCTCGAAAAACAAAATAATGACAATTTTTGAAATGTTACATCTAACCAATCATTTTTTTAAAGAAATCAAAGCAAGAAGAACGTTACATCTCCAAACCTTGTACTTTCTACCAAATAACCTTAAGTCAAAGTCCAGCATAGCCACTGCCCTTAGAGAAAGAAGACAGTACCACATACATCACTGTCTTTTTGTTTTGTTTCATTTTGGTGCTGGGGATGAAACCCGAGGCCTTGTGCATGTTAATAATATGCTCTGCCACTGAGCTACAAGATCCACCTCAAGATCAGTCTTTTTAAACCAACTCCGGGGACCAGGTTGGACTTAGACAAAGCACTCCTCCAATCCAAAGAAGCTACAAATTGACTATGTGATCACGCAAACATGCACCTAGATTTTCTGGCTTAATTATATGGCCAGGTGTTTACATTCACAAGAGGGTAAAAAGCACTGTAACTGTTCACACAGGAGGTAAAGGTTTTAATGAGAAGTGTGATCATTAATTGTGATTGTGAGCCTGACTTGAGGCCTAGCAGATCAGTACCGCTCTAGGTGTGCCTGATTGACATGCAGGCTGCAAACTGAGGAGGGAACCCCCACCCCAGCTGTGGGTGGCACCAACCCACAGGCTTGTACCCTGGATGGAATAAAATGGGAAAGCAGAAGGAAGGCTGCCCTTTTTCTTCAAAGAGCTCTGGTCTTCACCACTGCCTTGGGACACCATCTCCAGTTCCTTCAGTCTTCTAGGGCAGGCTCTCCAGGCTTCCAATGTAGACCCTCCCAGTTTCCACCACAGGCAGGTGGCAGACTCTGCACTGAGCTCCAAGCCTTTGGCAGCTCCAGGCCTTTGGCTGCTCCAGGATCCTCTGGCTCTCCAGCATGTAGACAGGCATTTCAGATTCCACCGCCTGTGATTCCGCAGACAGCCACTGGGACTCCTCTCCTTCTGATCCTGTAAGCCTACCTAATAAATCCCTCCTATAATTACATTTTATATTGATTCTGTTTCTCTAGTGAACCCTAACTAATACAAGAAACCTTCAGGAACTATCAGAAATATCAGCACAAATGTCATCGGTCTTCAGTTTATAAAATGAAACAGCCATCAAAACCCCAAAGGTGGCCCAGGGATTTAGCTCAGTGGTTTCACCTCCTGCTGCGCAAGCACAAGGACCCAAGTTTGATCCCCAGTACTAAAAAATCCCCAAAAAATCCAAAGGTGACCTGCAGCTTGCACTGAAATCTAGGCGAGCAAATTGCTATCGTCTTCTATATTCCTATATGCAGAGTAAACTACATCTGTCTTCCACAACAACCAGCACTAAATCATGACTATAAAGACATACTGCATGATAGGAAAATAATTTCCCAACACAAATAAAGAAAATAGAAGAGAGTTCCTTTGTTTGTAAGGAATACATTCCAGCAGTCTCAGCTAATAAGGATACCAAAGCAAAGACATTGTTTACATCTTTACCATAGTAAAAATCTTAATTATGGCCCAAATAACCTATTAGAGAGAAACTAGAGCAGTGATTCCACACCTTAACCAAACATCTCAGAAGCTTTGTAAAATCTCAGAGGTCCAGTACACATCAAATCAGTCACTTCGGACTCTCCAAAAATAGGACCCTGGCATCATTTTTTTAAGCTATAAGTAGACTACAGTGTACAGTCATAATTGTCCACCACTGAGCTACAGATTATTTTCGAGCTTTCTTCCACAGCAGAGAGTTCATTTTAGCATGCTGAGGGCCCTTGAGACGCCAGGGAAAGAAGTTTTTGTCTTCTTCAGACCTTGTAGAGAGGCTGAGGAGCACGCACACCAAGGCTCTCCCACTTAAAATATAGCTCTGATGACACAGAGTCCAGGAGAGTTCTCTCTCAACAAAATAGATGCAAAGAAATGAATGAGTAAGCTTCCTGGCTATTCCTCCCCTGTTGATAAAAGCTGGGAAATTCACTTTATCTGAATAAAAAGAAGCCTTTAATGTTTACCACTGCTATGCTCCAGGTTTCCCTAACTTAAATCTGGCTTTAGATACTTTTGCTTGATTTTCTTTGAAAGCAGATTTCTGACGGTGATGGTTAGAGCAGAACTGCATTTAAAAACTCCACTAGAATCAATGCACAGTTGTTTAAAGTTGAAACAAAAAGTTTAAAAGCAAAATTTTACCCAAGAAAGTTAAAAAGAAAATCAAACATACTGCAGGGGCCGGGGATTTAGCTCAGTGGTTCTGCCACCTGCCTCGCAAGCACAAGGACCCGAGTTCGATCCCCAGTACCAAAAAAAAAAAAAAAAAAATACTGCAGACATGTTTTCAAAATTCTGTTTTAAATAATGGGAATATTTGAAGTGTGAATTTGGAAAGGCAGGAAAAAGCTGTATAGAGATATTTAAAGAGTAATATTTTTAAAGAGTGCATATTTAATTTAAAAAGCAGGCTAACTTTAATAGCCCTTTCCAACATGAATTCTAAAGGCAGACTCTGCTCTGTGTGCCTCATATGTCATTAGAGGTAAGTACTGGAGTCGGGGTGGTAAATTCCAATTTGGACCTACACATGTGAGCTTGCTGAACCTATGTGAAGTACACTTAACCTCCCTCTGTGCCTACTCTCCTCTCTAACACTGAAAGATGAAGAGTACCTACCTCTTAGGTGGTGAAATTGGAACCCGAAGCACTGCTGGTGGGAATGAAAAATGATGCAGCTGCTGTGGAAACAGTGTGGAGGTTCCTAAAAATGTAAACACAGAATTATCGTATGATCCAGCAGTTCCACAAATGGGTTTACGACTACAAGGAATGAACAGATATCCATATACCCATGCTCACTGCAGCATTACCTAGAACAGTGAAAAGGTAGAAATAACCCAAGTCCCCTGAGTCATGAATAAACAACACGTGGTAAATGTACACAATGGAATGCTCTTTAGCCTTAAAAATAAAGGAAACTTCAACACATGCTACAACATGGATGAATCTTGAGGATATGATGTCAAGTGAAATATGCCAGTCCACAAAAGACAAATACTGCATGATGCCATTTATATAAGGTATTCACAGTAGTTAAATTCATAGAGATAGAAAGAAGAGTGGTGGACTTCCACTTTCTTGCTTCTGGTGTGTGAATTTGAACTTCTCAAGAGTGTTTTAGAACTAAAGAAGACAACAAATAGGGGTCATCTGAAGTTTACTGGCCCCCAGGACAAAGTTGGAGATCACTGCTCAAGCATAAGTTTTCCTAAGACTGCATCAGAGATGTCTGATGTAAAGGCTTGGGCTGAATGTTGTGGAGTGGGCTGCAAAGGGCCATATGGTTTGCTTACGACAGTTATTTTGGCTCTTACTCCACTGTTCCTAGCAAGCGCCATCCTGTCCTGGAAATTGGCCAAGATGATTGAAGCCCGGGAGACGGAGGAAAAGAAGAAACAAAAACGTCAAGAAAATATTGCAAAAGCTAAACGACTGATGGGCTGGGGATTTAGCCCAATGGTTCTGGCGCCTGCCTTGCAAGCACAAGGTCTCGAGTTTGATCGCCGGTACCAAAAAAAAAAAGCTAAACAACTGAAAAAAGATTGAAGGGATGAACAGACTCTACAAACATAAAAAAGTCATTTGGAAAATTAGGCAGCTTGGAAGGACCCCATGAGGTTTCTTTGCATTTCATGGAAGTTATTATTGTCCATATAGAAGAATCATTCTGGAATGTGACCTCAATACTGTACTAACTTTGAGGCCTGGGCACAGATGTTTGTTGGTGACCACTGGCAGTTACTATAAATTAGTATTTGATTATATTGGTTGAGTATCACTGATGCCTAACCCAGAATACTCCAAAATCCAAAACTTTATATGCACAGATGTGATGCCACAAGTACAAAATTTCCCAGCTGACCTCTCGTGGGTCTCAGTCAAAATACAGATGCACTAAAAAAATGTATAAAATTTCTTCCAGCCTATATGAAACAAATGAATTTCCTGAAGATGTCTCATTATGTATATGCAAGTATTCCAAAATCTGAAAACATCTAAAACATGTCTGGTTCCAGGCATTTCAAAGAAGGAACATTCAACCTATAGTACAAATTCTTTATCACTGACTTAGTCATTGGCCATTTTGTAGCTATGTTCTGAAATAAAAACATCCTGTGGAAAAAAATGACTTTACATTATGAACTCTGTTCAAACAGTGATCTGAAACAGGGTCCTATTCTCAACAAAGGATATTAAGAATGTTAAAGTCGGGCCAGGAATTTAGCTCAGTGATTCCACCACCTGCCTCACAAGCGCAGGGTCCCGAGTTTGATCCCTGGTACCAAAAAAAAAGAATGTTAAAAGTCAAGCTTGTCCTCTTTGAGGTGAAAGTTTGCTTGGGCTTAAAAAAGATATATTAATCACACCTTTTATCATTATTGCTTATTTCTCGGAATCATTTCTGGCTTTTTCAAAGAGAAATAATATTAACAAGTGCATCTATTCTGTATTTTTCTGATTTTAGCCTTTGAGACAACTGGTAATGCATCAAGCCAGTCTGCATTTTTAAAAACCTAATTTTTAAAAGATTATCTTATTTTGACTATGTACAGTACCACCTACTAGATATAATGATTTTTGTACCTAGAAACACTGCTACTTTCTTAGCGATGAGTTGTTGAGTAACACTCTGATTTAAAACTTTGCAGTACCTTGGAAGCAGTTTTTCTTGTGCTAAAACTGTGAAATAGTTAAAAATATCTTATCATGTAATTTGCTCATTATATAGGCAACACTGTTTTTATTCCATTTGTTTTAACTTACATGGTAATGATGTCCTGTACTTTTTGTTCAAACAATTTGAGGTGAAAATTAAAACTTCAGTTTTTTTTTTTAAGGAGCTCTTAAAGAGTTAACATTTAGGTCATACTTCATAAGTGGTAAAGGCCCAAAATTTTGAAAAATTTGGTTGAGCATAGTAGTAATTGCACAACAGGATAAATTAGTTCAAAATAAGGATGTGCTACAGTTAGGTCCAGAGCTAAAAGATGTTTCAATTAAGTTGTATAACCAGAACTTTGCACTATTAAACATGGCTTTTCTAAATGCATGGTCCAGTAATTTTATTTACTGCAGTATTTAATAGCTTATTAATGTGAATTTTAAGTTACTATGATTGTCCAACAGCTCTAATTTAAAAATGAAACTAGGTATGAAATAAATTTGATACTTTTTTATAAAAAAAAAAAAAAGAAAGAAGAATGGGGCCTGCTAGGGGTGGAGGGTGGAAAGAATGGAGAGCTGGTGTTTAATAGGGGCAGAGTCTCAGCTTGGAAAGATGAGGACATTCTAAAGAGGAGGGTGGTGATGGCTTCATGCCCTTAAACTACACATTCACAAGTCATTAATACGGTAATTTTTACATCATGTACATTTTACCACAATAAGAGCATTTAATATAATTTGATTTAAAAGTAGAAAAGAACAGCACTTAACCCCTAGAGTGGTAAGGGTTGAGCCACATGGGAAGTGTGTAGGGCATGCCTGGCACACAGAAGGTAAATGTCAGCTCTGCCTTATTTCCCTGCCTCTGTGGCGCCCTGTAATGCAGAGACCACGGACCCTCAGGGAAAAGGCGTCCTCCACCCTTGGAGATGTATGCTTTTTTGCAAGGAAAAATTTCCAGACTTGAATCTTTTTGTAGCACAAATTCTCCCTCATTTTAAAAAACTATCCATTGAAATCATAAGAAGATGTCATCTAATTTTTGAAGTGAACTTTCACACATTACATAAAGCTGAGGTGACCACATATAAAACAACTGCCTCGATTGTCTCTACCTCCCAAATGGTTTATTCATAATTGTGACTCCAAATTAGGTTCATAAGTTAAGCGTATTGTATAGAATTGATAGTAGAGAGAAGAAAAGAAAGTCACTCTGCCATTCGTGAATATTTCTCCACTTTTTATCACAAGCAAGACTATTTTACTTCTCTTTGATACTTTCTTTTTTTTTTTTTTTGGTACCAGGGATCGAATTCGGGTCCTTGCGCTTGTGAGGCAGGTGCCGGAACCACTGAGCTAAATCCCCAGCCCTCTTTGATACTTTCTTAAAACATTTTGTTATACAATTTCCAAGCATACATAAAAGTAGGGTTCAACTAGCCCCTATGTAACAACTTCACAACAAATTTAAGTTATTGAAGACTATGAACCCTAAAAATAAAATTTAAAAATTAGAAAACATAAGTTAGATTGAAGCAATTTTCATATATAATAGTCATCACGAGCATCATCACAATTTTTCTTTACTTTTATAGGTCCTTTTCAGATATCTTCTTACCTCCTTTCATCTCTTGTTTTGAAACTACAAATAGTTCCCCTGTCTGCCTTGCCAAGGTCATTGTAAGGATGTGATATACATTGAGTACCCAGATTGGGGTCTGCAGGCAGCATTAAGTTCCTGAGAAATATTTCTTCTTTACGCACCACTGCCTGGCTCAACCCAACAAAACTGAGACACAAGCACCTGTCCTCCATTCTTGTCCTTGCTCCTCCTTTCCCTCCTAAGCACTGGACCGGCCCCTTCCTGCCCCTTCCAGCAGCTAAGTCAGGGCTCCCAAGTTCAGATGCCTATTCTCAAATCTAATCACCTAGAAGACCCCTCAAGAACCCAGGCAAACATAATAAACTGACGCTCTCAAGAGTACCAGTCCCTAAACTGAAAATTAAAACCATGCTTAATCTAGTGCCTGTGCACTATTTGTAAATGTACAGAAATATCATGCTGGATGCCAGATGCTAAGATATGAAACCAGAATTCCTATGCAGGTCATTGCTCTGTGTGCGTGTGTGTGTGTGTGTGTGTGCGTGTGTGTGTATGTGTGTGCGCATTAAACTTTTCTGATGGTCCGGCAAGTTTTATATGCTAATGAGATTCATTTCCTTGTAGTACTTCTCACCTGTGACAAACCTGCCACCTCTAATTTGTTTTAAAAGGAATTTTAATCACCCAATCAATCAAACTTGACCTTCAGCCCTAACAGCCACTTCACTATGGTCAAAATTGGCACTAAATATTCATGTTGCAACAGCTCTGTTGTCCTCAAGCTCCAAAACACCAGTGATAGGAATATAATTTGAGGAAATCCTCTGATGGATAAAAACATAGTACACGGAGTTTCTAATTCATCTTCTACCAAGATTCTTTAAATAAAAGTGAATACCCATGATATCATTAAGTAAAAGCTTTCCCTCTCCTGGGTTCTGAAGACATAAACAATCCAAGCTTCCATACAGTGAATCTAGTTTCTCTACCACATGGCCCAGTTTGGGGTTTAAATAACGTACCTTTCTTTACACAAAGATAAAGAACAGCCAAGTGACTTTTCCCATCCCTGCCTCTTCCTCTCCAATCTTAACCACAATGCCATCACCTTTCCTGCTCTCTCCTATGTCAATGAAGTAGAAGATTCCTTCTTGCCTAGGCCAAAGCCTCAATGTTCAGTGAATGTGCACAGGAACACACCCAACTTTCTCTCACCAAAACACCCCTTCCTTCACCACCCCATCCAGCCACAGTGGCTCTTTCATGGCCTTAGCACTCGTTCCAAGAGGGCAGAGATTTAAACCTTAGACATTTCTTGCCTTTGACTTCTGAGCCATCTACCTCTCAGCCCAATGAACGCTAGGTTCTGGGCCGCTTAGCCACTGGAGCTCTTTCCAGTAAAATCACTAGAGGCGCCCTCTGTGGTCTCAGTCCCACAGCCACTTACCTGAACACACTGCAGCATTTGGCGCTATTGGTCACACCCCTTGGAAACTGTGCCTTCCCTCAGTTTTTAATGGTCTCTCTTCCTGTATTCCTCCCACCTCTCTGACATTCCAACTGTCTCCTTCCAGGACTCAAATCCATGACCAGCCTATCAGTCAATAACCTCGGAGTTCCATCTTTGCCTGTTCTCTCTTCTCCCTCTTCTCATACCCTTTCTGGGCCCATCGACAAACACAATTGGCTTCAGCTGTAATTATATGTCAGCGTGACTTCTCTGTCCTTCCTATTCTAGTGTCCCTCAGGTGCTCCAGGCTACACACACATCTGTGTTTGCAAGACTTCTCCACATGAGTGTCCCTCAGGCATCCTAACATCAAAAATCTACTACCACCATGTGCATTTACTGTCTGAGCCAAGGTTACCAACCACCACCCGATTACCCCACCCAGAAAGCTAGGCGGCATCTTTAGTCTTCCCTCTCTTTTATCCCTCACATCAGCAGTCACTAGGCCTTACTGCTTCTTACTCCACAGCTCTCTGGGATCTGTCCATCTTTTCATCTCCTCCACTGCCACTAATTCAAGCCTACATCATTTCTTACCTGCATTACCAGTACACACCACAAATCCAGTTCTCTGCTGCCATTCAACATATGTACCTTTAAACAGCAATGCAGGCTGTCAAAATGATGTTTTATAAGTCACTTTTCTGCTAAAAACTCACCAGAAAATTCTGAAGTGTTTTGCTTTCATAACTTATTTCCTGAATATCTGACAAATCTCTACCTTGCCAGAAACACCTCTCCCCAAACATCAGCCATGCAGAAGCACTTGCCTGT